GCAAGTGTCCACCCCGCTCCCCCTGTGTACTATCTCTCTGGCCCAGGGTACTCTAGTTTTAAAGTAGAATCAATCATCCTCTCTTCCCCACAAACACAGGCCAACTGACCCTAATACCCAACTCCTTCCACTGTGTGGAGTCTCACACACTGCCACTGTAGCCTTTCAAAGTCCCCGCGTAGTGAGGAGACCCTTCATCCTCCGGGAGGAAAGTTTGCTCACTCTGGTGCATCTCAGGCAAAGGCCACTGCTGCTTCCTGGCCTCTATACCTAGTTGGGCTACAAAACTGCTTTTGAAAAACCACCACCACCCTCTACCTGGATTACATTAATAATGACATCGGCAGCTTGAGATACGAGACTGGCCCTAAAGAAGCAAGAATTAATCCAACCCCGAAGAGCTAGTGTCAACCATTCCAAGGACTCACTTCGGAACCAAGTTTGAAGGCCACTTGCTACTGACACTGGACGGCCACAGAAAATAGCAGCAGTATAAGAATGACTGCTGAAATCTCGCCGACCTGGCCTCTACAACGCCTCCACCTTCTCGTATGCTGTTCTTGTTCCTGCACCTAATCCTCCATCTGGTCTGCTCTGCTTCTGTTTCCAAACACCTGAAACTACAGTATGCAGTACTGTTCAAGTCTATGTCCGAATCTCCCCAACTTTCTATCACATCCTTTTTATTCACTCTAGTCCACGGCTTACCAACTTCTCGCTCACTTGCAGATATTAGGCCTACTAAGCTGTCCCCAAAGGTTCGTTCACACGTACTAAATATTCAGCAAATATCAATTAACAAGTATTAAGTCCTTCAAATGTACTTAAGCGCCCCAGGTTCTTAGAAGAGAAAAAAATACGTATGCCATTCAGCTACTGTCTTGAAATGCCAAGACTATTTTATTTAAAATGATCACTATGGGCCGGAATATGGTGATTATTTTAAATAATCAGCTCAACAGCCTGAGCACAAGCTCTGCATGCGGGAGGCCCGGGTTCAGTCCCCGGCAACGTTTGGTTCCCCCAAGCACAGAAATAAGAATAGCCCAAAAATAAATCCAGGAAGGGGCTGGAGCGATAGCACAGCGGGTAGGGCGTTTGCCTTGCACACAGCCAACATGGCTGACCCGGGTTCGATTCCCAGCATCCCATAGGTTCCCCCGAGCACCGCCAGGAGTAATTCCCGAGTGCATGAGCCAGGAGTAACCCCTGAGCATTGCCGGGTGTGACCCAAAAAGCAAAATTAATTAATTAATTAGGGCTAGAGCGATAGCACAGTGGGTAGGGCGTTTGCCTTGCACGTAGCCAACATGGCCGACCCGAGTTCGATTCCTCCGCCCCTCTCGGAGAGCCCGGCAAGCTACCGAGAGTATTCGATATGCCAGACACAGTAACAACAAAGTCTCCAATGGAGACGTTACTGGGCCCGCTCGAGCAAATCGATGAACAACGGGAGGGCCCTTTTTTTACAATTAATTAATTAATTAATCCATGAAAATCACTAAGTATAAGAACATACAATGACTGAATTACAGCTAGAGATTATAAGTACCGTTCAGAAAAATAAGACCAAGGTGTCTCCCACTTCTCATAGAATGAGCATCAAAAACAAAGAGGAAAGAGAAGATAAATGTGTAAGCCTAGTATTTTTTCCGAGGCTTTTATGTGAAAAGCATTGTCATAGACCTTAATCTGTTTTGTTCTGCAAGTCTTGCATTCATCATTTTATTCCATCCTTAACAACAGCATGAGGCGGGCGGTCTTCAACCTAATTCTCTAGACGAGGAAGCTGGGTTTAGAAAGAGACAGCCCTCTGCCCTAGCGGGGCATGATAACAAACCAACACCGACTAGAGCGAGTCTCCCAACCCTACACCCAAGTGGCTCCTTTCTCCTCCAGACCCCAAGTCCCCCAGCCCCTACTCCCTCAGCTACACCAAGACCCTGGTACACTCCCTACACTGCTTTACAATGGTAAATAGTCGGCAACTACCTAAATGGAGGCTTTCTGAGTTTTTGAAGAATCTGTTCCGGATCCTTCCAAGAAAAGCTGTCAAGTTTGGTCTATATTTTTCAAGCCTGTGGGAATTCAAGTCCATAATCTACGCTCCTCTATTAGCTAACAGTATTAGCACGGCACTGTAGCACCGTCCTCCCATTGTTCATCGATTTGCTTGAGCAGGAACCAGTAACGTCCATTGTGAGACTTGTTGTTACCGTTTTTGGCATATCGAATACGTCACGGGGAGCTTGCCAGGCTCTGCTGTGCGGGCGGAATACACTCAGTAGCTTGCCAGGCTCTCCGAGAGGGGGCGGAAGAATCGAACCCGGGTCGGCTGCGTGCAAGGCAAACGTCCTACACGCTATGCTATAGCTCCAGCCCATCTAACAGTATTAAATATTAATATTTATGAGGGAGACGTACTCCTTTGGCTGTGAACTTCCTGCCTTAGATTAAACCCTGTTATCTACAGAGACTAGCACGAGCTTGGCATATGGTCAATATGAATAAATCTCTGCCTAGAAAATGAATGAATCGGGTTTCTTTCTCTTGATGTGTCATGAACTTATCGGGGGCAAAGACATCTCATAGGATTTTTGTTTGGAGGCCACGTCCAGCGGTGCTCAGGGCTCCTGGCTCTGCACTCAGGGATCAGTCCTAGCTACGCTCAGGGGACCACACAGATGCTGGAGATGGAATCCAGGCTGGCGCTACATGCGAGGCAAGTGCCCATCCACTCTCCAGCACGGACATCTCATAGACTTTTGAAGCTCAGTTTCAAAAGAAAACAGTTGACAATGCACTGAACTGAACTGGTCAGGAGAGCTCTATTGAAAGACAGTAGGGTTGACATTCTGTGTTTGCTCAGATTCGGCACTTGTCTGTTTGATACCTTTAATCACAAGGCCAAACTAACCACTCCTGCCCTCCAGGGCCCACACTCAGGACCACCTTCTTCATCTCACCACACAAGAAGCCAATATTTCCCCTGATCTAAATTAATACAAGGTCAAGTACTAGACTATGAAGAACTGTCTCTTTGCCCTAGAGCCCACTAGAACTGGCCAAACCAGTCAACCTTAAACCAGATTTTCCTTATCTTCCTTTCCTTTTCTAATCAAAACCCAACAGGGACTCTGCATCACTGTTTCCCCCCTGATTTCCTCTTTTTAATGGCCTTGTGGCCCTGTGTGGTGTGGGATGTTCCCTTCTCTTAGGAAACAGAAATTAAAAATTCTTCTTTTAATGGCAAAAAATCTTCAATTCCCTATGCTATCACTAAGTCACTTTAAAAAATCCAGGCCCTGGAACTGGAGCGATAGTACAGAGGGTAGGGCGTTTGCTTTGCATGTGGCCAACTCAGGTTCAATCCCTGGCATTCCATATGATACCCCACACACTGCCAGGAGTAACTCCTGAGTGCAGAGCCAGGAGTAACCCCTGAGTATCACTGGATGTGACCCAAAAGCAAAAACAAAAAAAATAAAAATCAAAGTTGTTGGAAGTAACCAGTTGCAAAGTGCCCTTACCATTTTGCCAGGAACCAAACCTCGTCTAATCGTAAATACTGGCCTACCCCACTACTTACAAAACCTTCCCTTCCCATTCGATGATGAACTCCTTCCAACGCTGAAATGAGCACTTCTTTCATATCACCTGCTTGTCGAATTTAATGCTATCATCAGTTCTTGTCCAGTGTGATCATTTCCAACTAATATTGTCATAATGGACCCTCCTCTATCTTAAGTCCCCTCCATCTCCCATAACATTGACCAACCACTGAACTGAACTGGATGACAATGCCCTGAACTGGTCAACTGGTAGAGAGCTCTATTGAAAGACAGCAGGGTTGACAATTTCCCGGCCCATTTCCCCTGGCCTTGGATATTAGTTTCATACTGGCCTGAAGGGGTGGGAAGGAAACTGGAGGGATGGTTGTTGGTGCATTGTGTGACTGAAATGCAATCAGGAACAACTTAGTGATGCTCTCGCTCATGAAGATTCAACAACAACAAAAACAATGCCATATACACAGCTGTGAAAGGTGAGCTGAACTTTACATAGTTAAGTAAATAATTTATTGACTTTGGGGTTAGAGACAGTACTGGAGATAAGGCAACTTGCCTTGCATGCAGTCAACCTGGGTTCAATTCCCAACATTACAAGTGATTCCCCGACCTTCTCTAGGAGTGACCCCTGAGCAAAAACAACAATAAAAAAAACTGACTTTTATTTTGTCTGAGTCTATCCAGTTGTGAATTATCCCCCTCTGGCCCTTAAAAAAAAAAACAAAACAGGGCCAGAGCGACAGTACACTGGGTAGGGCATTTGCCTTGCATGCAGCCAAACTGTGCTTGATCCCCGGCATCCCATAGGGTCCCTCAAGCACCGCCAGAATTCCTGAGCACGGTGCCAGTGCCGGAATAACCCCTGATCATCGCTGGGTGTGGACCAAAAAACAAACAAACAAACAAACAAACACCCCCTAAAACGCACCTGAAATCTGAAATCTGTAAAATCTGAAATCTGAAATCTGTAAAATCTGAAATCAGGTGATGACACCCAATGCCTCACAGTTTGGCAATTTCCTAAAAGTTAAATACAAACCACACTATAAAACCCAGGAAGCATACTCCTAGGCATTACCAAGGTATTCATTCCTAGCTTTTTTCAGCTCACGCCCAAGGGATCTGAAAACCAAGTCCACACAAAAACTTGTAAACAAGCATTTAAGGCAGCAACTGGGAGCAGGCACCTTCTTTCTACGAGTGAACGGATAAATTGTGCTATAGCCATAGAAGGAACATACTCTTGGTGCATACACAGTAACATCACTGAATTTTTGCTTGTTTCATTTTGGAATCACGCTGGACTATGTTCAGGGTTTATTCCTAGTGCCCAAGGTCACCCCTGCAATGCTTGGGGGAACCATATGAGGTGCTGGCGATCAAAGTCAGTGGTTCCACGCAAGGCGACTTGGGCTATACTATCTCTCTGGCCCCAATCTAGCTGAATTTTAAATGCACTTTTTTAACTGTGCAGGGGCCATGCTAATCTTCTCTGTATCGTTTCAATTTTAGTATATGTGCTGCCGAATTTTAGTATATTTAACTGCAAGTCTGCTTTTGATTCCAATCACATAGCACTCTGGAAAAGACAAAATGACAGGTACAGAAAATTGAACAGACAGTGCAGTAGAAGGCTGCTGACTACAGGGGGATGCAGAGGAGAATTCTGGGGGAAAGTGAACTGTCTTACATATTACTAGGAGGCAGAAATATGACTACATGTTTTTCAAAGCCAAGGCTCGCTAGAGTGAACTTGAATGCATAAAAACGGGGAGCAGTGCCTTCCCAGCGATACAGAGATACTTGTGGCTGGCTATGTGGACTGGCAGTTTGGTGCCAGGGTCCTGAAAGTGGGACTGCTAGCGCCAGTGGTGATGGGTGGGAGAACAGGGGTGGGGATCAGGGACTTTGCACATGCAAGCATGTGCTTCAGCTCTTTGAGCTATCTCCCTGCCCAGTGTATGAAAATGAAAAAAAAAAAAGCTTTTAACAGGATGTCAGGGGATCTCAAGATAAAATTCAAATTATGGCAAAGGATCATTAGGAATGTGACATAATAAACTCACTGAAAGGGTAGGGGGCCTTCGTAATCTTAGAAAATGCTTCGACTGAAAACTAAAAAGCTAAATGACAAGGAACTGTACCTAAAACATTATATATTAACACTCGAGTTGGATTTACATTTAAGTGTTGCTCTCAAAAGTAGAGCTTAATACTTCTATCTCTAATACTGTGTGTATGTGTGTGTACACACGCATGCACAAATCTGTGTGTTTTTGAACCCAGGGTCTCATACATTCAAGATGTGTGCTCTACTGCTGACATACATCCCTGATGCCTGGATGAACATATCTGAGCCTGCTTACATATTCAGGATTGGAAAAAATCGGTAAAGCTACCACCTAGTGTGATGGAGAGTCTAATTCCTCATTATCAGTAAGAAAATCGTAGATAAGTAAGTACATGTACAAGGTGAGAGACCGAAGAGATTCTGATACTGGATTAAAGTCACGGATAACTTGACCTGCTGGGTCAAATGCCTACATCTTGGTTTCTTCCGTGAAAAGAACCAGGGCTCCTCAGGAAAATGGCTAATTCTAGAACTAGGGCAGGGACAGGACAGGATGAGCCAGGACATCATCGAGTTCTAGAAAGTAAGAAGTGCTCAAATAGCAAAAGGATGAAAGAACTTCAAAGGGACACAGAAGTCAGTGTGGAAAAGTAGCCAGAACAGGAACAACTTAAGCAACAAAATAAAGCGCAAGGTTTGGCATTTTTACCTGAAATGTAAAATAAATAAGTAGTCCACGATGATATAAATGAATCACACAATAGGAGCAATTTTATTTTTCCTTTTTCCTTTTCCTTTCTTTTTTTGCCACAACTAGTGACGTTGAGAGGTAAGTTACTCCTGGCTCTGACTTCAGGGATCACTCCTGGTGGTGCTTGGTGGACCGAAGGGCAGGTGCTGGAGCTCAGACCCAGGTCAGCCGCATGCAAGGCAAATGTCCTACCTGCTGTACTATCTCTCTGGCCCCGGGTGTTTGACTTTTGATGAAAACTGTTCTGTGTGTCCAGCTGAGAGCACTGGGCTGCCCTGGCCCTGGCGCCTGCCGAGCACAGCTCTGGTCTCTCTTGGGGTCCTTCCTTTGTCTGATCTGAATCCTGGCTTGCTTTTGAAAGACGTAGAGCTGTGACTGAAATCCTGCTCCTTCCTTCTTATTTATTATTGCCACTGACATCAGACTCAAGAAGACTGAATTACCCCCCACTATTTTTATGTCCACACTGAATTATTCCAGAAGATTCTGTGTCCATGAACTGATAGCGTAATAGCACCGCTGACCTGCTCTGGCTCTGACGGGACAGGAGAGAGCATCAGCAATACTGGGCACCTGCCCAGACTATTATGTGTTTTTTCAGAGTTCACTATCTCATTGGGGCTCAATAAAGCGCCCTTTGTAGTCCTAAATTTTAGAAACTGCACTTTTTTATGGTAATGATTTGAAATTCTGAAAATGCATTAGCTGTATATAACTGATGACATAAACTTGGATCTCTAATTCGAAATTCAGGAAATTCAAATTCAAAAGGGAATTTCTTTTTTCTCCCTTTTTAAATTTTTATTAGTGAAACACCATGAAGTATAGTTGTGGACTTACAAGGTTTTGTGCTTGGGTTTCAGGTATACAATGATCGAGTACCCATCCCTCCACCAGTGCCCATTCTCCACCACCACTGATCCCAGTATCCCTCCCAACCCCCATCACCCCCATCCCACTCTGCCTCTGAGGCAGGGCACTCCCCAAAAGGGAATTTCTAGACTCACCGAAAAAAGTCAAGTTTGTGATTGGCAAGGGTCAGACTTATTTAATTTGCTTTATGTGCTAAACCGTCACTATCACTGTCCTCCCGTTGCTCACTGTTTAGCTCGAGTGGGCCCAGTAACGTCTCCATTTTGAGACTTGTTGTTACTATGTTTGGCATTATCAAATTCGTCATGAGGAGCTTGCCAGGCTTTGCCATGCGGGCGAGATACTCTCGGTAGCTTGCCGGGCTCTCCGAGAGGGGTGGAGGAATCGAACCCGGGTCGGCAAGGTCGGCTGTGTGGAAGGCAAACACCCTACCCTCTGTGCTAAATCACAAAAAATCTGTGGTGAGAAAAAAGAATGCAGAATTTAAGCCTTGAAGGTGTCCTGACCATCTTTCCTTTACTGCATTCCTCTCCGATGGGAAGAGACCCAGTGCGCACCGTGAGGGCATCCTCAGGATCTTCGAGTAAGTTTGCGTCACTGACACCAGGCTAAGTCATTCCCTCCTTCCAGGTGTGACCCTTCAAAGACAAATGTTCTTTGTTTTGTGTTTTCTACAACACTGTGTTTCTCTTAAAAATTAATATATCTGCATCCTATTTTTTTCAAATAACAAAAGGTTAAATCACAAGAAAATGAACAGGATGACTATTTGAAATCACCCAAGCTGGTTTTAGTATCAGTAATTAACTTTATTACATCATTAAACTTACTATTATAAAGTCCCTGTTTGGAAAGAACAAATTATTCCCTTTAAAAGTCTTTTTTTAAAGATTAGTTTTATAGCTAACTTTATTTGTAATTAGTAAAAGCGAACATTAATACAACCAAGTCCAAGAAAATATGAACAATTTTTTAGCCCGTTCACAGATCTGATTCTGGTTTCTGATGTCGCAGGAACAGTTATTAGAATGGAATACTATGCAGCTGTTAGAAAAGATGGAAGTTACAAAATTTGCACGTAAGTGGATTAACATGGAGAGTATCATGCTAAGTGAAATGAGTCAGAAAGAAAGGGACAGACATAGGAAGATTGACTCATTTGTGGAACATAAAGTAACAGTATGGGAGATTTACACCCAAGTATAGTAGAGATGAGTACCAGGAGGACTGATTCACAGCCCGGAAACCGGCCTTACATGCTGGGAGAAAAGGCAGTTCAGTTAAAAAAAAAAAGGGACCACCAAGTAAAGGATGCTTGGAGGACCCACTCAGGATGGGAGATGTGTACTGAGAGTAGACTACAGACCGAACATGATCACCACTTAATACCTGCATTGTAGACCACAACACCCTAAAGGAGAGAGCAAGTAAAAGGGAATCTGCCTGCCACAGAGGTGGGGGGAGGTGGGGAATGGGAGGGGGATGTGGGAGGGCTACTGGGATCATTGGTGTTGGAGAACGGGCACTGGTGGAGGGATGGGTACTCGATCATTGTATGACTAAAATGTGAGCATGAAAGCTTGTAAGTCACCTGTATCTTGTAAGTCACTGTATCTCACGGTGATTCATTAAAAAATAAAATTTTTTTAAAAAATTTTTTTAAAAAATAACTGTTATTAGGACAATCCATCTCCGATTTTCTAAGAAAGCCTTATTTCAAATGCTATAAGTCACACACCAAAACCCTAAATGACAGTTCCATAACATCGAATACCTCACTATCAATATTTCTTAGATGCAACTTTTTCACATCGTAAGTGCTGATCTAGGGGTGGTAAAAAGATAAAGAAAGGATCATTGGAGTTGTAGGGGTTTTGTTCCACTGTTAAGACAGCAGATAGTAAGACTGGCACTCTTTATTGTACATGGTTGTATGAGTAAGGATATGATAGAGAACAGACCTCAGTGAACCACATGGGGGAACCCCCACAACAAAAACAAACAAACAAAACCAGCAAAGGAGCATGAAAGACAGCAAGAGTCAATGGAGGGGCTGGAGCGACAGCACAGTGGGTAGGGCGTCTGCCTTGCATGAAGCCGACCCGGGTTCAATTCCCAGCATCCCGTATGGTCCCTTGAGTGCAGAGCCAGGAGTAACCCCTGTGCATCGCCGGATGTGACCCAAAAAGCAAAAAAAAGGAAAAAAAAAGAATCAACGGAGTCAGTGAAGCTCAAGAACTATCCACAAAAATTATCCAAGCTAAATAAGAGAAAACAGTTCCACATGAAAAAGGAGTCTAGGGGCTGGAGAGATAGCACAGCGGGTTGGGCGTTTGCCTTGCATGCGGGCAACCCAGGTTCGATTCCCAGCATCCCAGGTGGTCCCCTGAGCACCGCCAGGAGTAACTCCTGAGTGCAGAGCCAGGAGGAACCGCTGTGCATCGCCGGGTGTGACCCAAAGAGAAAAAAAAAAGAGAAAAAGGAGTCTAAAGCACCTACTGAGCAAGACCAAAAATATACAAATACCTATATCATCAAAGGTCTATTAAGAAAGAAAAATACATGGAATAGAAAAAATTCTGAATACCTATACAGTACTCAAATTTATATAAAGGACAAAAACTGCAGATTCAAGAAACACAGTAAATAGGAAACTTGAATCCTTTTTCAGTGAAGACAAAAAAAAAAGCAGTCAGAAAAAAATTACAGAGAAACAATAATCCAATACCTTTGGCTGTCTCACCAGAAACCACCAGAGAAGGGGCAGCGGAACAGGATTTTTAAGTGCTGGGAAACACACCCACCCAGTAATCTATATCCAGGGAAAAATCCTCAAAAATAA